CACACACACACACACACACACACACACACACACACACACACACACACTCGCGCATGCGTACACACAGCAACTTATTAATATAGTGGCGTGTGTGGGTGTGGTTAAATACATGGGCCATGACAGGTACGTAACTAGAAAGTTAAAATCATAGGTACATTTCACAATTTTACTTTTACAAAATTTTACACAGGAGTTACACAATTAGTGTACTGCTATCTCTGCCGCTCGCACAGTGGAGATTCGGAGACAACCAAATTGTTCCAACGTCTGATGAGGCTCAGCTCAGGTACCCAGCGGCAGAACTAGTCATCCGCCTTAGAGCCGGAGTTCCTCAGGGTTCCGTATTGTCTGCAACTCTCTTCCCGCTGCATATCAATGATATGTTAATTCCAGGTACCTTTGTGTATGCTGATGACAGCACAGTTGTAGATAGGTACTTGACCAATGCAAGGGTCAGTGGAGAGGAAATCCAGTCTTGCAGAAAGTCCATGGTTAGCCGTTTAGATTTGACACTCCAGGCAGTCTCCGATTGGGGCAATCCTAATCTAGTCAAATTTAACGCTACCAAAACGCTGGCGGGTCTATTTTCCACAAAACGAAGTTCCTTTGAGCTGACTCCGACTTTTCGTAATATATCCATACCGATAGCCGACTGTATCCAGCTACTCGGAATGGACCTGCGTCCCATTTTGAACTTCGGCAGATAAATTGAATCCACGGCCAAAAATGCAGCAAGGAACCCAAGCTTCCTGCAAAAATGCAGCAAGCTTCCTGCAAAAATGCAGCAAGGAAGCTTGGGATCCTTTCCAGGGTGAGGCGTTACTTTACACCGGGACAGTTGCTTCAGCTGTACCAAGCACAAGTCCGATTATGCATGGAGTATTGTTGCCACCTTTGGAATGGCTCTGTTACATATCAACTGGCCACTTTGGATTTAATTGACAACCGTGCCAAGAGGCTTATAGGTGACTCGGAATTAGTGGAGGCGAAGCTGCACAGCCTTGAACACCGCCGTAAAGTTGCCTGCTTATCGGTATTTTACAGGATATATCACGGAGAGCGTGTGATGGAATTACACGATTTAATTCTGCCTCCCCTTTTCATCACTGGGGGACCAGGCGTAGGCTTGGGTTCTACCCCTATGTTGTGGATATTTCAAAGATTCGCACGAAGCGTTACGCTTCCACATTTATATGGCGAACGGCTATGGAGTGGAATTCCTTGCCAGCAGACTTTTTCTTTGAACGTTATAACTTGGGTCTTTTCAAGGCGAGAGTGAATAGACATTACTTAAGTGTGCATGCTACATCGTCGACCTCATCGTCACTTTCCATCAGGTGAGATGGAGGTCAAATACGCACTTATATTTTATTTAAAAAAGTAGTTGGGTGGCTGTGTGATGAATATTTAAGGTTTTGTGAGAGGAATCATGGGCGTCTTCTAGTTCATATCCATTATTTTCTATTATTTTTGCTACTCATGCAGCGCACTCCAATGTGTTTTCATTTTCAATTTCGTAGTCAATAAAATATATTCTAAGAATAGTTTTTTGATATTTGGATCATTATAATTTTCTTAAGAACCCAGACGTAACTGCTATTAACAATACATACAATTGTTTAAGTGTGATAAGTAGTACCAGGACCTCAGCTCCGGCTACGTATGTAATTGTAGTCCTGGTAATCCTCATCTTTACGAAATTTTATCAAAAAAATTAATAGATTGCTTGGGAAACCCAATGGTCAGCAGCTACCTTGCCTAACTATTAGGATAGCTATACAAAGTGGTAACGCTGCTACCATTTTGGGTACCTAGCCGCGGGGAATTTGGGTCTTAAAATTTAATCTTAGTTTTAGTTTCTAGTGTTTAAGAGTCTATACTAGCACAAATGGCTTTGGTTGTTTCAACAACAACAGTGAAAGTGTTAAACAATCACTTTGGAAAAAATACGCTGATTTGAAAACAGGATTCCTAACAATTTTCATGATAGAAAAAAAAACACAAACTTAAACCGAAATATTACAAGACAACCGCTGTATTCAATAAGTACTTTACATATACCAATATTTTTTTTGTGTCAACCGAATTTAATGGACCGCGTATAATATACGATATACACTTTTACAAAAGGCTTTTATTTCGTTTGTAAAAAAATAAATTCTGAAATATAACGTAACGACGAAATGAAATATAACGAACCGTATAACGTAACGGGAAAAATTTGAATTCAATTTCAAGCTGAGGTAGTGGTATCTTTTTATTGTATTTTTATTCACCTGTCTAAATAAATAAATGAACATTAAATTTGCCATTTATTAGGTATTTATTAACATTATTTCCAGTTAATATCTATGGCATTTGCAATGGTGACTGACTATCTCATTATTGGCGCTTGTAAGTAATAAA